AAGCCTGATTCACTTTGAAGAACTTTAGCAATATCTGAGTATAATTTAAGGAGAAACGATATTTAGAAAACTGGTCTTAAAGGAACAGAGAAATGGAAGACTTTGTCTCTCTAGTCTGGAAAGTGTCTGTCAGTGTTGGAGAGTTCCTGAGAAATTGTTTTATAAGGGAAATCTCGTTCAAGCCCTTTTTTTTTGGTATGTGATATGTAGCCTTTTCCATCAATTTTATTTCAACTCTTCATGCTTGAATTGACACCGTATCAGTCACGCTGGACTTCCGTTTCTTGAACCTCCAAGGCAAACGAAAATTGGTTCCAAAGTCGCGTAGTTCAAAAAATCAGGGGTCGAGTTGGAGGGGGCGACCTTCGGTACGAGTTATCGTGACGTTCGAAAAATTGAGGGTTCCAGAAACTAGGACTCCTCTTTATTATATGGCCAGCTCAGAGAGCGGCCAAGGTGAACCAAATCCTGCGCTGTGATTGGCTACCCGAGCGGGCAAGATGGCGCTATCTTGCCCGCTCGGAATTACCCGCTGTGTCCCAAAAGAAAATAGTATTCTTTTCATATACAGATTACCATCCAGCATGTTGGACATCCAGAGCTGAGATATTAATTACTAACCGGGACAATTGCATCTTCTTGAATTGTGTGGGTAAGCAACAATAATTTCTTGGTTAGGCATAGACCTTATACATAGACCTAGACCTAGACCTAGACCTGGACCTAGACCTAGACCTAGACATGGACATAGACATAGACATAGACATAAACATAGCAATTTTTCTTAAACAATTGTGTCCGAGGGGAAAAGGCGCAATGAGGCTAACACTATGTGAAACACCAACCCGTGAGACAATTCCAGACCACAACACCGGGAACTCCGCGCCCCACTCTTTGCGATAAGTGTGTGGTTTCTTTAACGTCCCTCGATAACCACGTGACACTGAAGATGCAAGAGATGGAGCTTACAATTCATAGTCCTTATCCGAGAAGACTTGAACGTCTAACCATTTGCAGCAGTAATTACAAAGGTAGCACATTCTCCTCAATTATTTTACGACCCTGAGTGTTGGTCTGGTCTGGGGCTCAAA